TGAACTGTAGCTTTTCACTTTCGGCTCTCTGTTGCTGGGACTGAGAAGTCATTCAGGATTCTCCGGTGGCATGTTTCTGGGCAGGCCGGTCTGTGTTTGAATGGCTGCTTTGCTCTCTCAAGAAATGCATCCAAATGGAACCGTGTCCCCCCCAGACCACATCCAGAGACGATCTCCTACAAGCTTCATTTTAACAATTAAAGCTTGACAATATTGGTCAGAATCTTAGGAAGGAGAACACATCTGGTGGGGTATTAACACTAAATGTGACTTCCAGAGTCCCCACTGAGCCCAATAATTGGGGAGAGGTGGGGCAGGGGAAATGACATGGAGCAGCTCACCTGTGCAGACAGTCTGTTTTCCATTCTTTTTCTAGTCAATCTTTAAAATTCTGTATTGCTAAAAATGTATTTAAAATCCTTAGATTCATGAAATTCAGGGGCTGATGAATTTTTTTTCTAAATCTGGCCGTAATTCTTGAAGACGTCTAACATCTTGGCTTGCTTTCCTTTTTCATGTTTTAAAGTCATTCACTGTCTTAGTGTCTTATTCTGCATTGATGTTAATAACAGGTCCTCTTCTTGATGTAGACAATACGTGAAGTAACAGAACAAGAAGAATCTACATAGATCTGATGTATGATCTGTAAGGATATATACCGGCAGGAAACTTGGCTGGGAAGGTCTTTTGGAAATGTTTCACAATTGAAGCACCTCAAACTCTTCTTTCAAAGAGAAAGAAACAGGAGTATCGTTAGTCTATGAAAGATAATTGTATGTTCTCTAAATACGCCAGGAATTCACTAGCACTGAAAAGAACTTCATAAATTCTTAAAATCTGTTTTGTGATTCACAGTGCAACAGTATCCTTGACTTTAAATTTATAGAAGCCTGTGAACTTTTGAAGGTAGCTCTGTTGTGGCAACAGAAGACCTGAGGAGGCTTGCTAGTTCTGTATTAATTAGTGTATTTTTCTAAGTAACTTTTTCAGTTTCATTTATTGCTCATAGATTATTTTTTTAAATATTTACATAACATTAAATGTTTTAACAAATCTAGAAGGTGACTCCAAACAGTCAAAGGGATAGTGTCAGAAATATCCTGTAAATGTTGACAATCCTGACATATCTAATTCCAAGCTATTTAAAAGCTGTATCTGTATGAAGGCCTCGCATGAACATAGAAATTAGGAAATCCCAATTCTTAAAGGCTTTAGGTATCTGGCTATCGATTTGTACCTACATGAGCACTCTGGGATACCGCTTCTAAACTGCTTCTAAATGTTCGTTGTGTATTAACCTCAAGTGTTGCTGTTGGTTCCCCCGCCCTGCCTTTCGTTAAGTTTTATAGTCGGCATCACTGGATGAAGCTCCTTTCATGAACAGGGCTTTATTTTGCATTCCTCGTATATTCAGTGCTTCCATAGATACCAGCTATTGAAGTATCCGGGCACTTGCTCTGATTTTAATGTATTTCTTTTCCCACATAGTCTATACAGAGACGTTCCCTAGTTAGAAATGTTCTTCCGTTATGAAAATGTTAGTATTTATTCGTTTGTGCTTGATCTGTTTTTACCACTAGATTCCATTACAACCATCCTGTCATTAGAATGGGTCCTCTAACAAATTACCAAGAGCTCATGTAAATTTGAATTAGGAGTGAGATAAAAATGGTTTAGTCATTGCATATATACGTGCTTTTAACTTTCAGTCGTGTGAGGCAACCGGCCCACTTCTTGGAGAGTAGTGTGCTTGTACAGCCAATTTGAGGCCATGCCGACGGCAGTGACTCCAGAGGAGCTGACATTCTGTGGAACTGCTCCTTGCTTATCTTCCTTGTAATTTGTGGAGTAAGACGACAGCTCTCGATGTGCCTTGCTGCCTTACTCGATTGGAGATCGAGACGCATCGTTCCGGTGTGTCGGCAGTGTGTAGCTCTTCCATGTTTTGATCAAAGTCAAACTTTGCATGGTGCCGAGGTGAGACTCTTCGTGTGTTTTGTGTGCCTTTTGCATTTCATGCGTATGAGCGTGTTTTGGACCTTCTCTCTCCATGTAAAATGATTATTCAGAAAAGCGGCATGGTGGCAGTATCCATATTGTGAATACGATGGATGTGTTTAAATGCTTAAGGAGAAAATTAACTGGTGCATGACTTTGGTTTTTCCCCTAACTGTAAGTTTTCCCAGTCTGGGCCAAAATACCTAGTCGCAAAACCTGTGCGAGTAACTTTCTCCTCCCTGGCTTTCTGTAAGAAAACAAAGTTGAGCCACTTCTCATTTTTTAAAAGTAGGTTTCAAAGTATTTTTGTCTTATTTGGTCTGACTTCTATTGCTTTAAAAACAAATGGATAGGAAATGAAGATACATTTGGGTCATGGATTTGAAATCTTAAAGTGTATGAAACACATACTTGTACACAAAAAATACAGCTAGATTTCCGTTACTTTCTTGTGGGGTTAGGAACGCAGCCCTGTGTTACCGGAATAGAAAACGTTCTTTGCTTTTGTCTTTACAAAGCTTTGTCTCCAAAATTCCCACTGAGGAGACTGAGAATATTCTCAGCGCTGTTGGCCATCTCATCACACGGGATCGGCTTCATGTGGACTTGGGTGACAGGACCATAAAAACCCAGCTCTGAACTAGCGTTTCTGTGGGTGTTGCTACTGCTGGTGCTGTAACAATGGCAGCAGGTGTCTTCCGTCATGCACTTTCAGGTTTTTCACTGCAGTGTTGCTGGTTAAGATTTCAGTTTACCAAAAACAAAACAAAACAAAACCCCGCACAATCTTAACGGTGTGTGAGGCTGAGAGATGTTGAATGGAATCCGCGGTCCCCTCCTGGTCCCATTTGTGCTTAAGGCTTTGTAAACTCTGTGGTCTTGAGCAGCTGATGTTTCTTTCATATGGATGTCTCTTGGAACAAGGTAAAATATAGCTGAAAAATCCTGCTTTTTGTGTTACTTTAATCAGAACAATTTTCTGTGTACATACCTTCTCCCCACCAAACCCTTCCTGGTTTATTTTAGGTCACCCAGAAATATGTTTTATAATGTTCTCACTTGTGGATACTTTGCTATGTTACAAAACTAAATGAAAATACTTGCCGCCTTATCCAGGTTGAATTTTTTGTGAAAAGCAGTGGTAATGTCTTTTTCTGTTGTTTGAAATGTTACACTGAATGTTTTGTAGGACGATTTTTTTTAACTGTGTTTTCAATAAAGTTAAAGTGTGATTCATAGTGGCGTTTTGCTTAATTTTATTTTAATCAATGGAAAAAAAAAATCTCTGTGGCATTCTAAATTACCCTGTCAGTAGTTGGTATGAATAGTTGCAATCCTCTCTCTTCTTCCTTCCTCCCCCCAATTTAACATGCTTTTGAGAGTCTCAGATGGTCAGGTTTTTAAAATACGCGATGTATGGTGTGTGATGGAGACTCCCGTACATTGCGAGGCATTACAGCCCTGTCTGAGACAGGTGCACAACTAAGTTGAACCCTCTACTTCAGGCAAGTGGGCTTTGCTTATGGAAGAGTATGCTGATTATGTAATGTGTAATTTTCAGTAGCTTAATAGTTTGACTGAAGGGCAACTTTTATGTCTTAAAAACCTGACCACCATGTTTCCTAAACTGTTTGAAACTCAAACAGCTTCAGACTTTCCTTTCCATTTCACGGGAGGGTTTTAGGCTGTTTTTAAAGTTCAGGAATCATGTGGCTGGAAGGGACCTGGAGATACCTGATCAGTTCAGCTGCGCAGGATCACACACACCTGTGTTATTCCTGGTATTTAACCAGCCTGGCAGGGACTGTCTGCAGTGTGATTCCTGTGCTGTCTCCAGGCAATATGGGCCAGTGTTTAATTGTCCAAGGCTTCCTAAATGTCAAGTGTGAACAGCCCTTGCCATGCTTTAAGCTTTACTTTGGTTCTCAAACATTTGTAGTAAGGCAAGTCGTTCTGCTTGTGCCAGCTTTTTCCACACCTGAAAGGTTATGTTTCCCTTTATCTTCTACACAAGAAGTGACCCCCCAGTTCCCTCAGCTCTTTTATGTAGGCCTCTCGGCATCCTTTTTCCTGCCTGTGCAGACCCTCGTGTTTCTAGAAATGCCGAGCTCAGAACTGGACACAGAAAACTCCAGGCTTGAGCCCTTACACTACATCATGTCTTCTGTACTATTTTTTTTGGGGGGTGGTCTTTTTTTGCAACATTATTCATTCATACTGAACTTGTGTTCTCAAATACATTTCTGGATGTTTTTCTACAGAAAATCTCTATATTGCTACATATATAAGATGTGAGCAGTCTCATACATGGGGTTATTCCTACGTAAGTGTATATTTTGCACTTGTTGTGAGACTGTTTTCCGCTTCATCTGCAGGACTGTATCCTCTTACAGAAATGAACTGAATTGGTTTGATAGGATTCTCTTCCTGGCAAATCCCATGTCAAATACTAGTTCTTTTTAAGTAGTTTGTACCAGTGTTTTTCTTGGAAATTAAGTGAAACTAATGTCTGCATTTCCCTAGGATTTCTTCCTTCCTTCCTGGTGTCAAGATGGGTTTATCAATTCCGAGTCCTTCGGAGTGTCACATGTTCTCCACAAGTTCTCACAGCCAGCCAACTCTGAAAGCCCTGTAGACAGCCGCCTGGCTGCCCAAATGCAGTCGGTCAGCAACCGATCTGTAAAACGCTTTTTCCCTCAGGATTCTCTGACATGGCCTTTCCCACTTCCGGCTTAAGCCTGTGAACCCGTACAGCTGGTAATGTGGCGACCACCTCACTTGATGCGTGACACAATTTGATCTTGTCAGCATTATTTGGAAGCTCTCTATCATTTGTGTAGTTGATCGGTTATTGCCTTTTTATGCAAAATTAATTTCCTTGTTACCTTGGTATGTTGTTATTTCATTTTGGTTTAGCTTCTGACTTTTGTCTTTATGTGCTCATACTTTTTGTACAAATTATCTGCGGCAAACTGTCTTAGTTTCAGCAATGCATAGCTGAAAAGTCATAATTATGTTTTTATTTCTCTTGAAAGTGGTCAGTACTTACTGTGGTTCTGGGTTCTCTGAAGTTCTGAAATGATCCCGCATCCTTGAGGGCCACTTTTGTCTCCCTGCAGCTCTCTGGAGCTGGTTAGTCATTCAAGCAGAAGGAGCAGCCAGGGTTCTAGTTAGTAAATGTGGCTGAAGGAAAAAAAAAGTGTTTCTTGCTACAACTACCAGTTGCAGTAGTTGTGGTCCTTGTGAGTGGGAACCTGTGCTGCAACAAAACAGGTGAGGGATAAAGTGGGGTGTTGCTGAATGAACACAATGCCTGAAACAGCTGTGGCTCATCTTTGGGAAAGGGAAATAAAAGTGGAGAAAGGTGGGAGTGACAGAGGGAGGAAGAATAAAAATGCTGGAAGACCAAAGGTGAAACTGAGTCTAAAAGGGAAGCAACAGCACCCTTCTAACTTTTATTTCTCTAAATACAAGGTGAGTACCTTTGTCCATACAAAATCATTTGTTCTTGGAAGATCTGGCTCTGAAAAGGCTCCAGAGTTAGAAGTACATGTGTTGTCAGCTACGATCTACGAGGTAGTTCATGATGAGCTATACGTATCAACATTTGAGGATTTTCTTTTGATAATATGAGCGACATAAAGGGCAAATATGTCGCTCTCCCAAGGAAAACTCTTCAAATGCTTGAAGACAGGTATGATGAAACAAATGCGAACAAGAAAGCAGAACAGTCCGTCGTGAAAACTGATTGCTGTTGCCAGAAGAGAGACAGGCAGGATGAACTGCAGGACTGAGTGGCATGATACAGATAGGACAGTCGAATATCTCTTGCCGAAATGCCTGAATAAAAACAAACCAACCAACCTGTTGTGAAACAGTGGAAGGTGAATGTATCAGCAATATGCTAATTCAAATATTCAAATTTTATGATTTGTAATGTATTTTGAGGAACTTAACATTTTGATTCTCAGTTTTGTCTACAGCCTCTTTGGGTTCTTTAACTGAGTAGAAGAGAGATGCTGCTGAGGTAAATCTCTGAACTGTAAAAACTTTCTAGTATTTCTGATTTGGAACAGATGGACCAAAATTTAAGAAAACAGAAAACACTCAGTTGTGCTGAAAAGACCATCATGCCTCAAAAGAATGCAGAACTACTTCAAAAAAAAAAAGGGGGGGGGGGGGGGGGGAATACCCAACCAACCTGCATCTGGATCTTCTCCCAGTCAGTTTCACTTATTAATATTTCTTTTCCTTCCAACTGCTGAAACACATCTCGACTTGCAGCTATAGAAGAATCTATCTCAGAAAAAAAATCATCTAGGTTGATGTCGTAAGAACTCAACAGTCGATTGCTGATCTGTTGAACCTGAAAATAAAAATTGACTGTGGTTAGATTTGGAATTACTTGTAGGTAGTCCATATGTGGAAGAACTGTGAGTGACTGGACGAGTGGGCCTGATGAGTTGCATGATCTGTGGAATCTTGTTCCCATTTGCAGCTGGTGTCCAGTGCTGATTTACAGGTCAAAAGCATCAGGCCCCCAGACTCCACTGATGGACCATTATCCTTCAGAGAAAACACAGGATTTTCATCACTGAACTTTCCCAAGATAGATGTGCTATTCTTAACCCATATGGTGCAGCACAGAGGGTACAGCTGTGTTACAGAAAGAAGTACAGAACTTTGCTGAGCATTGGTTATTTGATAGGAAACCTGTGCATCTTGCTGTGGGCTTAGTTCAAGGCATGATAACCAATAAGGGAAGAGGCATCTTGGGTGTTGTCCTTGGTGTAGACTTTTATGACCTACTGCCATAAATGTGTTTCTGCATATTGCACATAGGCCTAAGCAATCTGGTCATCATAGCTGAAGATGCTCCCATCGGTGCTCAGCAAAATAAATACCTAAAAGCAAGGAACGCTGTTCTCAAACTTAATCATCTCCTTGAGTGCAATGCCAGCTCACTGCGGCAACTTTCTCTTGTTGCTACCACAGTATCTGAAAGTTCTGTAGTGAGTCACACAGGTCTTAGATTTGTCTTTTGTGACTCTGCTCGTAAAAGCTTTCAGCAGTTTTAAGGAACACTTCAACACCTGTACCGTGACCATGCACTGTGAGCTTGTCTCTCCATGCATCTCCTGTGAGTGAAAACTTGACAGGAAAACAGGGCGCCATCGCTTCAGGGAGGATGGGATGGGAAGTGGGAGGTGAGGTGGCAGAAGGGTTGTTGTCAAGGTCAGACAGACACTTTCCTATTCTTTAACTTTTTTTTTTTTTTAGTAGCTTTTCTCTACTGGGACATGTGCTCCCTTACAACTGCTAAAGTGACCCTTCATAGCATAGATCAGAATATCCAAAGTGAACTTTTCTAGACCCAAAGGAATCAAGAGCCCAAATCCCACAACCACCCCACAAAACTATCTGAAAAGCTCACTTAGCATTCTAAGATTTCATTTAAACTTTGAATTTCCTAAATTTCCTTCTAAAATGATGAAAAAACTCATAATTTTTTTTTTAACTATGTCCATATCGTCTTCCAGTGAAACCTTTTATGTTTCTCAATAAAGACTTTAGAGACAAACATTAGAAGCAGCCAGGTAAGGGAAACAGTGAAAAACACCACTTAAGGCAAGCTGTTTGCTTCTTGACATTAGATTTGATCCTGTGTATTCTTTTTATTTTATGGTCTGATTCACTGCTAACTGAGACCCATTATGACGTACTGTATTTCCAAATAATCCTTAACACAACAGTATATTGAAAGGATGTATCCATTTATCAGTCCAAATCAGTTTTAGTTACCTTGTTAATTAATGCTGATGTATCAACATAACTTAAAAAAAAAAGGAAAAAAAATATACCAAGACCCCTTGTATAGTGTATGTATTTAAATTGCAATGTGATAGAAAAAGCAGCAGCCCCTTCTGTACTCTGTGAGAGAATTCTATGCCTAGCAAAGAGCACAATGGGTAATCTTGTGCTCCCCTCATGACTGTTCACTGACAAGAAAGGAAAAAAATCTGATTCTATCCCATGCAAACATATGCACTGACCTTCAGTGGTATGTGTAAAACAAAAAAACCAAACAAACAAGAATCCCGCTGCAGGCCTCCTTCAATATTTACACTTTGTGGTCTCCAAACAATCCCAAACGATGACACTGTGGGCTTCCTGAATGACATGGGAAATACTATTGCACTACACTTTAATCAGGTTATGTCTTTAGTATTTTAATGTAATTATATATTTACTTAAGCAATAACAGTCCTAGTAAGTTTTATCTGAACTGTTGTTACCTAGGTTCTAGAACTGATTCTACTCCACGTTGCAATTTTAACTGCTCTTACTGATTTCATTTTAAAATCTGACTTCAGGAAGAACAGGGTAAGATTACACCTAAACCTTGTATGATGCATGGTGTCTGTTCAGCATCAAGTAAAGGTTGATCCATTTGAAAACACTTTTGGTCCTGATTTATGCTTGATCTTTGTTTATATTGGTATCAGACTTGAACAGACCTGATCTGTCTTCTTAAGCTAGGGGGAGGTAATAGAAAGCTAGAGCAGCATGACGATGCTCTAAGAGCTTCTCGGGACCCAAAATTTGAGGAAAAGCAACTACATTTTAACTCTGCCCTTATCCAGTGTCTAGTTCTGACAACGTGAGAGCAACACAGACAGTACGTGGTCAGTTCCAGGACGTGGCCTGTCTTTCTGAGCTACAGGCAGGCTGCTGAGGACGACGAACCACCACGAGAGCTGGAAGCAGGGGGCAGCGAGGGGCTGGGGTTGCATTAAGCAAGCAGTGCCCCCGCTCTGTCCGTGCCTGTGCTGCTGGGTCCCTTTTCCCTCAGCAGGGAGAAGCCCCACATTTCTTCCCTGAGCTTGCACTTGTTATTTCTCTTCCCCATTTCACTAAGTGATCCTGAAAGTCCTCTTGTGAGCCTCCCTGAGCAGAAACTGTAAAAATAAAGAGAGAACGTTTCTCTTGCCCAAGACAGTAATCTGTTAAGTTCCCCTGCTGCTGAGATACTATCTGCTTTGAGCTACTCCTGTATTTTCTGCAGTATGACCTGACCCAACCCATATCCATCAATCAGCAAATAAAGTCTCAGGCTGGGAAGAAAAAAAAAAAAAAAATAAGTGATCCTGAAAGTCCTCTCGTGAGCCTCCCTGAGCAGAAACTGTAAAAATAGAGAACGTTTCTCTTGCCCAAGACAGTAATCTGTTAAGTTCCCCTGCTGCTGAGATACTATCTGCTTTGAGCTACTCCTGTATTTTCTGCAGTATGACCTGACCCAACCCATATCCATCAATCAGCAAATAAAGTCTCAGGCTGGGAAGAAAAAAAAAAAAAAAAGCGTAACTGAAATTTAACCCCAAATTTTTGCTAACCGGCAAATCGGTGCAAATTAGCAATGTGAACAGAAAGGAAATAAACACTTTGTGTAATTTGTTAGTGCTAGCATGTTCTAGGATTTAAATATTAAATCCTGCTGTGTTTTAATGCACAATACTGAACAACCCTTTTTTCAGAACAACAGAAATGAATCAATTGAATTTATTTCTGAAAACACCACACCTCTATATTTTATGTCTGTGACTTCTTAAAACTTGAAAAGAATGGCATAAACTGAGTATTTGAAATACTCCATCGGTATGCAAAACTACATCAGTCATCTGTACAGCAGCACAAGACTATGATAAAATAAAACGATAAAACAAAGCACCGAGGTGAACTTTGTCCACAGGGAAGCCTTTTTAAGTGATCCAATGTCAGCAAATTGCTTACTAATGTGTTGACTTATGGCAACCCTCAAAAGTAAAATGAAAAGGCTGGAATTTACAGCATATCAATGAATCAGTTGATAAGCTTCTACTGGTTTAATATCCTCCTAGTTTTGCTGCTTGGAGCCACTTCAAGTTAGCAACAGAATGTTTACCATCTCCATGTGATAAAGGAAGTCAAACGACTAAACAAATTCCAGGACCATTATACTGTTTGGTGAGATTTAAATTAAAATCTTTGGGAGAAATCATGTGGAAGGGGGAGGAAGAAACTAAAGTCAACTACATCATTTCACAATGACTTAACCTCACCTCCTAAACAATGGCAAGATTTTTAGCAAAGCTGGAGATAATGTAATGCACTTGAAAAGATTTAATTGCACCAATAAAAGACTATACCACAATTAAATGACATACAGAAGTGACATTTATAGGTAGGATCAAAGAAATCACTACCTAACATGCTGAAGCAACACCCTGCTTTCTGTGTATAGTAGTGCTAAAAAGTAGCCTACTTTGGTTTCAGTGACCTTTCTTATCTCCTTTGATCTAGATTATTAAAAATTTTAATGATAGGTGTAATAAGGGCTACTGTAGCACCCTGAAACAAGTAATATGTGTCCTTCCTACTACTAATATTTCAGACATTGTTTTTTATTTTGTGATATTTATTTAAGCGTATGAAACTTGACGTTTAACCTTTATGATCCTTCCAGAGGAGGTAGGATTATTAAAAATTAGATTATTTTTCCCCCCCCAACTGTGATGCCATTTGATTATGCTAATGTTTAGGGAGTGACATTTTAAAAGCACAGCACAAGTTTGAGAGGCAAAATTTATTTTAAAAAAGCTTTTTAGCATCCGGAAATGGATAGCTCCTTGTGAAAAATTTCTTTAGTGTTTTCATTAACCAACACTTAAAAGTATAAGAGCGAACAGCAGGAAAACTCATCTACAATTCCCACCTGAAAGCCACTAAGAAAATTAAGTATATATCCTTTAATCACAATTGGTACTGAATTCATTTAAACCTGGCTAATCCATATAAGAAGACTTTATAAATTTGTTCTTAATAGAAGGTGAAAATGTAGTGCCTATTTTGTTCCCTGCAAAATCCTGAAGTGTTCCATATGTGAATGATTTCCTCATGGTGTGGACTATACATGGAAACTATGTTACATGAAGACCTTCCCATGGCTTATAATCATGTGATGAAATGTGGGCAGTCTATCAGGCTGTTTCTCCTTAAAACAGGTATCTAAGATAGGGGCCCTAAAAGCTAGCCCACTGTAGGTAGCTTGGTAGACTGCTGCTGTAGCCTTCTGCAGTTCAGTGAGAGAAATTTTAACAAATGACACTCAGCTGCAACTTTCAGCATATTTAGAAGCCTTCTTCAACTTCCCCTTACTGAGACCCTGCTTATAGCTAAGCATGGTATCCTGAACCCACAGAAAATTGACAACCTTGTTGGGAAAGAAGCATATGACTGTTTCCCCAGTCTTCCATGCAAAAAAAGTGTGTGTGTTTCTGTTGTCTGTTCTCATCATGCTACTCAAGGACAGTCACAATCCACCAAAGGATTCCCTTCTTGCAAACTTAAGTGTTTGAGCACTTTCAAGTGTAACGTTAGCTTTCTTCAGTTACCTCCATATTCATTTTCTCTGTTACAGGGAAGGACTTTGCATTGATTACAAAGGCAGCACAGCAACCAGCAAGCTGTCTCTGTACTAAGGCTGAGAGCAGTACTTCCTGACTCTCCCCTGCCGCTGTTGCCACACAGGCAGAACAGTGGTACCAATTTTGTTGCAACAGCCTACAAGATCCCCTTGAGGGTAACTAACTCACTATCATACATAACTCCATAATATAGCAAGAGAGGGTCTTTGCCTCCAAAGCTCTCCTCCAACAGGATACAACCAAGCAAGTGTGAGAAATAATGACAGACAGTAACAAGCCTTTTTCTGCAAGCCCTCTTCTGTTTAACTAAAGCAGTGATTTAAAAAAAAAACCCCAAACAACCGACTTAAGTATTGGTTTAAACCTACCACTGATTTAGCTTGCAACTTGGGTAAGAGTATTTCCCTAGCTGCACACGCTAGCTACCTTTAAATGGCTGTCTTGTGTGGCTTTGTTCATCTCTGTTAACCAGGCGGTTTGGTAATGTGGACTGGAAGATGGCTTCTCTCGCTCCCTGAGGGATGGCTTGGTAATCGCTGAGGATGTGTCAGAGCAGCTTTTGTTACTGAAAAGCTGGGCTAGGGCCGTTCAGTACTGAACTGGGGAAGACTGGAAGTTGGCAAAGGAGGACTTGGGGCTCGCACAGCAGCTGTGTGCTTAAAGGCAAGCAGGGTCATTGCAAAATGCTTGCACCTGATCTGGCCTCATTTGTACGGGGTCAGGACCCTAATTTGTTACAGTCTGACTTGCATCTGAGCAGAAGTTAGAGAAGGGCAAAGCTATGGAATGCAACTCTCCAGTGTCCAGTGCGGGAACAATGACAGTGAAAAGAAGTTATGATTGTTTATGGATTTGTTTTTCCCCTTACTATACCCCCTTCATATAATTCTATAGGAAAACAGATTACTGTGATTTATCAAAAAGAGAAGGGAAATACAGAGCCTCACAAAAAGCCCACTATTGTTGGCCTAGGCAAAAGGCAGGCCTTAAAATTAAGTATTTAAATTATTTTCCTTACTTCTACATTGTAAAGAGGATGGAATGAACTGACTAACAAAACAACCGAGTGCCTCCAGTGCTGCCTGTTTGATATGAATAAGAAGGAACAAATGAAGAGATAGAGAGCTGATATTCAGGAGTTTTGATTTAAGGGAGCTGAATCAGACCAAGGAAACAGACCAAAGAAGCAAATGCAACATACCTTTTTCTCAAAGAATTGCTTTCTTAATTTGCTATCTTTAGGAGGCACTGTTTTTCTCAAGTTCTTATACCATTTTCTAACAATATATCCCCTCCAGGAAGCTTGAATTCTGTAAGACACAATTTTGCTCAAGAAGAGGAAACTCAAATTTATATAATTTTATTATTTATATGAAACAATCATTTTATGCAGTTTTTAAAAAACTTTGACTTTTGTAGTGCATTCATTCTGTCTAGTTTCTTATTATATTAAAGTTTTAACACATTTGGAACATTATTGGGAAATAAATATTATCCAGTGACAACACCTGTAGCAGAAGTAAGGCTTACCTAATAGCGCACTTTATTTTAAACAAGCGTGCCCCATCATGTATTACTCTGGTCTGATACTGCTCTTTTCTACACATAGGACAAGACTTTTTACCTGTAAATTTTTCAAAGGCTTTCAGGCATGCCTAAAAAAAGAAGTGCAATTACTTACAGTATATTTCATATCATTGGAACAGATGAAACAGGATAGATTACAGAATGTAAAAACAGTTTATTCATCAATCTGTGAACACTCTACAAGATGCATATTTTTATCATTAAACTGTTGAGAATTTTGTAAATCTCCATATATTCGCATGAAATTTCATGAATTGAATTGTTCCCGCTTAGTATACAAATGTATAGCTCAGTTGCAAACTATGTTTTCCCATATGGTTTTAAAAAAGGTAATAAAATGGAATGAAGTGCTTCATCATAAACTAGCCTTAAATTATATTTCTTACCATAAAAATCTGGAATCAAAATTACTTTTCAAGATGATTACATTTAATTCATTAAGATATTCACTTAAGTAGTTTAATTAAATTACTCATGTATTATGTGCTTCAATAGTTATATAACAATGTACTCACTTTATGGAATACATGGGAACATGAAAGCAGCACCTGTTTTTCAAAGGGAAAAAAAAAAAAAACCAACTGACTTTAAACCATTCTAAAAGCTGAAAAGCAAAAAATATGCTGACAAGAAAAAATCTGACTGCCTGAAAGGTCATCAGTTTCTTTCTGTTACTACTGCAGTCTTTCTGGTGAAAATAGAATTAGTCTTCTATAAATATTGCTTAATATATTACATCTTAAACCAATATGTGAATTTTGTGCTAACAACACATGGAGTGGCAGAAAGCAAGAAATGCCAACTGCTTCTGACTGGAGGAAAAGACTATAAAACAAGTACTTAAAATGAAAGCTGATTAATTTTTTCCCTTTTCTCCACAGAAACGTTAAATTTCAAGAAGTGATATACATCAAATGCAGCATTTCACACATACAAAAAAACAAAGGAGAAAGCATGTTCACAGGCTACAAGAAAACTTCACCTTTATCTGACCTAAATTCCCACCAAATGCTGATGATCTCGATCCTGACAAAAGATACAGAGTTGGACAAAAAAGGCAGTTGGCTCTTAGAGGAAGGAAAAACTGGGAAAGGAGTGAAAACCAGAACAAGTACTGTGCACTATTGAGCTGGCAAACACAAAAGGATTAATGGCTAGCAGCCAGCTGAAGGGAAAGCTTTCAGATACAGTGGCTTTTTTCCCTTGAGGGAGGAAAGCTAACGAAAAACTGAGGACAAAAAGAATTCCAGAGGCATTTCCCTTTTTGTGCCAAATCTGAAGTAACCTTTTTAATGAGTGCTGTCTTTTGCTCTCTCTTGTCAAGCTTTAGACCTTCAGGGTAGCCAGAAATTGGCAGAATGGTCTTTCACCAGACCCATCCCACCTGTCTGTGGACAACTGTACACCTTCAGTTAATGTTGCTGTAAAAGGAAGCAAAAGCCCTGTATCTAAGGTTATGGAAAGATCTTGATTCACGTAACAGACTTGGTTGTAAAAAGTCTTCAAGAAAAATTAAAAGGGGGGGAACAGGCAGAAAAAACCCACCCTAAAATGCACTGTGGAAAGAAACTTGCAAGCAGTTGGAATAATTGTTCTAATTACCATCATCACCCCTCTGAAGCAGCACTCCTCTTCAGTCAGTCACTTGTCCCTTTTGCTTAATATTTTCAAGATGATAGATGAAAGAATCTAATAAAGCATGATGTATTTATGCTTATGCTGCACACATGCACCGAATAAAGCCATCAAAGTAAAATGCAAGCATTTCTTCAGATAACCTAAGGAAGTGACTGACTGGTATTAGGAGTACGCCTACCTCCATTTTCCAAACAGAAATAACTATTGAACTAAACTGCAATTAACAAAACTTGTGAGAAAACAAAATATATCTTAAATTGTATAATTAGTGAATAATTGTCATTCTGATGAATGAAAGCTAGGATCATATCTAACAGGAGTTTAAATGAAGCAAAAAATAACCTATACCCGCTTTGCAAGAACAGATAAAAAGGCTGATTACCTTCTCCTCCACCGTCGTAACTTCACAAGCAGACAAGCACTACCAACCTTTCTCTACCACGTCACGTCCAAAATACTTTCAGAGCTGGCCACTGATAGCTGGGTCCAGCTATTAAATGATAAATGGTGTCTTAAAGTAGAATCTTTCATTCTTTCGTTTCTTCCTCCAGCTAATGATTTTTAGCAGTAACTCTGGAAAAAAATTTTTAAATACAGTTGTGTAGTCCACACAATTATACACGTACCTGAGGTTTAAGTGCAAATTCTTCCCTGCATATTGCACAAGGCTGTATGGAGTCGCCATGCTGTATGGATCTCCGCTTTATTTTTACCCATTCTTCAGCAGTTAGTGGCAAGGAAGGAGGCTCAACTAGGCCTAATTTCTGAGCTGTAGACAATAACAACAATAAATCACTGAATAAGACCCACTGGCAGGTGCAGACAATGGATTTTCTTCATGTGAAATTCATCGATGATGCACTTACTTAAAAATACTTTATACAGATACTTCATACAAATCTATCATCAGACAAACCACTGGCTAGCAACATACTTCTTGCTATTAGTTAGCTATTCAGTAATTGTCAGAACCTCTTTTACATACAGAATTTATACAGGAAGTTTTTAAATGTAAACTTTTATTTGCTGAGAAATTTCAATTTATTTTGATACCTTTCCACAGCCATTACGATGGGGAATATTAACTAGACAATGTAACAATGCACAATAACGTAATTTTGTTTGTACAAACAAAATCTCTGTTAGAATTCATTTGTGAACGTTTCTTCAACATCACATTTTTGTATTCTCAAAAATAAAAATGAACAAAGTGGTATAATAAAAAACTGTTGCTGGTGCAAAATGCTGAAGTGTAATGAGACTGTGATGGATGCAACAGAAATAAAGAGCATAAAGAAACAAAGCCATGGTTACAAGACACCAGTGATAGCGTCACTGTGATAGCTGAGCTTGTTGATCTCCAAGGATAACTGTGAGGTGCCTTGCTGCGTGTCCATGTGAAATCTCTGCCTTCTCAAAGAAGGAATCAGTGAAAATACTTACAGTATTCCCCCCCAACCCCACAAATGGCAGATAAAGTCCAGTGTCAGTATCTCTGTAGTAAAAAAAGATGCTAAAAGAAGCCAGTAACATGAGTCCATGAGGCCTCAATGGTATTTGCTAAAATCAGAAAGGAAGAGGGACACAGAATAGTTAGGATGCAAGTTGATGACACATAGATGAGAGTTTTAGTTCTAAATGGGAAGGAAAGGGTCAACTCTTTAATTCATACCAAAATCTTTGCATAAACCAGACATTAATAAGCAGCACTTATTTGTTCTGTATAAGCTTTCAAAACCCCATCAGACATTGTATGCAAACCCATTACACTGGTTAGTCGTGAAGAGAAAAGGAATCCTAACAAACCAAAGAGTGGGGTTCTGGTGATCCACTTGCTCAAGTACCTGTTTATTCTAGGATAGGATTTGTTAATTTTTGAGAAAAAAATTCTGCTCCTGAGCTCATCCATCTACAGATGTATATCATTAATCATTTAAAAGTTGCACAAAACTGTCTTTGATCTTTTTAAAGAACTTTTCTGAGGTACTAAAGGAATTATAAGGAATACTTTCTTGCCTCTAGTTGAACTATCTGCCTAACCTACTTCCTTGTGAGCTCACGACATCCTTCAAACATAAATCAATTTGATTCCATAACTTAGAACAACGGGATGGCTTTGAGATTTCAAGCTGGGTCAGTTTACGCTTTTGGAACTACGTGGAAAGTGCTTTCTCTACATACGGTTTGGTTCATATACACCCCACCTTGTTACTTTTGTTACTGTTGTAAAGGTATCAAGTCAAAGGTAAGCAATGCATATAACACCTAAGTATCAAAAGAAAATTTGAATCAAAGAATGCCGTGGATGACATCGGCGGTCATATATGAGTTGTCTTAGAGGCACACTGTTTCCGTTCCTGGACAACTCAATACCCAGACACAAATACAACACCTCCACACGTGCAGGAGCTCACAGCTCTGCCTGCAAGCTATGGGCTAGAATTCAAACCACTCCGTGTCAAGCAGCAAAGCTCATACATATGTATTTACAGCATCATAATTTCAGATTGTAAAATATACGCTGTATTAACATAAAATAGTGTTGTCCATCAATTTTTGGTGCAGTGAAATGCTTTTATCTGGTGCTCGATGGTGAAAAATAATATGAGCTTTAAGGGGAACATGAAAGATCCTGCAAACATTCTAGAGTCTAAAAACTAGTTCAGAACATGCAGTTTGCTTAAAGCTTATGCATCAATTGCTCAAATTGGCAGCTGAGTGACAAAGAAGTTTTCCTAATCACAAGTGCTTTTCCCTCTTGACCATTCAAGCCTTGAAGAGCATGTATTGCACAGAACAGTGTTTCTGCTACAAAAGAAGAATCAAATTATAAAACACATGATATATGCTTTTACTGAAACATTTATCAAGTTTCACCTGACAGAAATACCTAAGAGTATCAGTGAATGAGTAAGGAAACAAGATCCCATTTTGATAGTCCAATATACACAAGCGATGGTCTTTATGATGAGAAAATCTGGATACACAGAGAGCGAACAAGATAGCAAACCAGTCACAGTGTGAAAGACAGTATCACAACATAAAAAATGCCTACCCTCAATTTTCTTCAAGCACTGTGGTCAGAGACTGTTTTAAGGAAGACAATGAGATGGCTTTGTGGAAAGCTTTTTGTATACCCCCAGGGTAAGAAAAAATGCTTATTTAAAACTTTCACAAATGGATGACTAAAGCTGCCAAATAGGAAGAGATTGGCGGCAAAACCTAACTTCTAAATAATATAAACCAGATGGGATATTTGTGAGGGACAGGTTATACAGGTGTTTAGGAGGAAAGCTTTTATACAACATAGTCAATGAAGGAAAACTGGCAGCAGGACACACAAGAAGGGATATGGTTGAAGCACAAGGCTCTATGAAGATACTCTCCAAGCAGCACTTTGAATAAATACAAGCAATGAAAGCCTAGCTTTATCACAGCTCAAGACATCCAGGAATTTCTATCCTTATGCATCAAGTTTACAAGCCCAACTCATTTACTGGCACACCCATTTACAACCAAGTGAGTTATTTATCCTAAAATGAACATTAGCAAACTGATTACATACACTAACCTTTAAATTATTATTATTTGATTTTAGGACTCAAGTCCCTTTTGAGAAAAATTTAATGATAGAGGCCTGTGAGATTTTGTCTGATTACCCACAAACTCAAGAAGAAAAAGGGCATTAAATTACGTTTTAAAAATTGTTTCACAGCTGTAAGGTGTGAAAAAAAATATTATCTTCTAAGAAGAGAAAGCTCGACACAAGCATTTTAAAATGAGAGACTACAGGTGAGAATACTAATAAGCAAAACCCAGAAACAATTGCAATTTTTAAAAATCTTTCAGCACATTCTTTCTAATCACTTGCACAAGCATTCATATGGGACGTTTCAGTCAATGCTGTGATTTAAAGAGAAAATACTTCGTCTTTCTTATAATTGCAGAGAACATGCTCACACTTGGGCTGCATTTTTTCACCACAACCTTTAGCTTCCATAATCACTCATTATTTATATTTGCATTAACCCCAGTACCTCTGTGCTGTTTTCTCCCCCCACTATCCTTTCTTCTTTCAAATTCCTCTTCAAAACGAACCAAAGAAAAAACCCTCCCATCTTTAGAACTATAACCATGTAAACATAGTAATAATCACCTTGCCTTACTACCTTTGTCCTATCGCTTATTACACTCACTTCTTGTGTATTATCTTAAGTTACCCTCTTAACCTTCAGCCGATTCCAAAAGGCAGATGCCTGTGCTTGTATGGAGCCTCATTGATTTACATGGTTCTCTTTAGAGCTGGGACTACTGTGACAGTTACTATAGCAAAGGCAACATGATCTTCAGAGAGGCCTAAGGGCATTTTTATGAAAAAGAATAAATAAAACAACTATTAATGATGATGAAAGTTTATTATGCTTAAAACTGCAAATTGTGGAGCTGGAAGGTGCTTTAAGAAATGCCTAATCAAGACAACTGAAAGGATGGAGACAAAAAGATGTTCATGGCAAGAATACCATAGAAACCCTTAGAAAAGAGAAATACAAGACTGAAACAGATAGGCAGGAAGCCCATTTGGACTCCTGGTCTGTTAAGATGCTCCCTGGCTTTGTTTTTTTAAGCAATATTGCCTGTCGCTGCTGTACAACTGTATTATTATCATACTATTTAGAAGTCAGTTTTCTCACCAGGCATCATTCCAAGCCCTCACATCTGTGACTTTTATCTTGTTGCATGTTTGCTTCTAAATTTGAAAAAGGTATTTAACTACAGGTGTTAATTCTTCCTGGGTTTAGCCCCAGGACCATTGTAAAAACCAACCTTTTTAACTTTGAGTAAAGGTGGGTATATGTTAACAAAGAATACATTTAATGCAGCACTAGTAAATGTCTTTTTACTGAATAAGGAATAAACCAAACCATTCCAAATAGACTCAAAAAAAATCTTAATACTAAAATATTCCCCCAAATAAATACAATATCAAAATCACTGATGTTTCCTTGAGAATATAAGGTAAAGAAAGTTATGACAGGCAATATACAAAACATATTAAAAAAAGTGTAAAAGACTTCCCACCTCTTAATGAAGAATTCTTCTTCATCAAGATGCACTAGCTTCTTCATTTTTACCTTCATTGTCACAAGAATAATATTTTTTAATACATTTCAGATATGAAAAGACACATTCAAACCACTGACAGCAATTCCAGTGTTTACCTGATGGCCTAAACTGCTGAAGTTTGACAAATTTTAAAACAAGATTTTATGCTGTTTAGCATTAAATTATCTTATTGAACAGAAAGCTTAGCTTCCTCATTTTAGATTTTTTTTTGAATTAAAACAAAAATCCACAAATCAGAACATAATAGTTTACCTAACGTTAGCTGTGGAGGACTGGGATCAAGAACATACTCCTTTTCTGCATCTTCCTTGTTTTTGTGGTGAGTGCTCTTTTTTCTTAGTCCAGTATCTACTACTGCTCTAACCATTTCTTTGTTCACGGGTTTGTAAATGATCTTGGTATTCCCTGTTCTTGACTTAAAAGGATCTGCTAATGAAAGATCTTGGAGCTGATGAGTGTGTATTATATGATCCTGTAAAGCAACTGCAGACACTGCTATCGTCTCTGGTTTGGAGAGGCGGCCCTAAAAAGAAAAAAAAAAAAAAACAAACCTCGAATCATTATTGTTATAAATGATTATAAAACATCTATGTTATACTAAATTAAAAGCAATTCTGCTCTTAGCCAATATTTTTGACTTGTCAAAGGCTTTTATACACATGCAATTCCTATACTTGAAGCCTAGCATACAATTACCATAATATGAAATTTAAGACTGATGTTTCTGACACATCCTAGTTTTAACTTATAAAAAGTCAAATGAAATCTTTGATTTATCATTTATATTAAATAAAATAGCAGTAATTTTAAAGTTTTAATTACTGAGCCCATAATTATTATATGCAATAAACTCATTATGGACTATAAAAGTTTGGCATGCCCAAACACATTTTTACTTCAAGATAATTAAAAACAATCCCAAAGGCTAACCCTGCCTTCCAGAACACTGAGTATAAACAAGAATGTATTATTTTTATACAGGGAATGGGCTTATCTATGTATTCCTTCATTTCTCCCCACCCTTCTGCCTTATTTTAAAAGATGTGAAATCATACCTTGTAAAAATCATGATGCTCCATTGATAATCTTTAGCTGATTTTACAAGAGTCGCACGGCTCTACAAACAGACACGTACAAGAACGTGGATAGTATTTCTCAGCAGAAACACCCACATCAACAGCAGAAGAGAAACCTACGATTTCACTCGTTTTCTCCTAGGCCTATCATGGGAGACAGCTTAACATGTATTCCAGGTTCAGAAGTTAACTCTGGATCCATAAACCACCAACTGTGCCCCTCTCCTGTCAGGCTCATCTCACCCCCAGTGGACCGCCCATAATGTACGCAGAATAGCTTCAAAACGAATGGCAGTAATCACGAATTTCAAGCTGAACCGAGGACAAAATATGGCCGTACCAATAAACCCCATGAACCGTTCTACTAAAGTAGTTTACTGTAGACACGGAAGCCTGTGATAGATACATAGAGCAAGGGTGATGCCAGCAACCCCTTTGGGGCTGAAGCTGCTCTGCTGCGATCCCAACATCCGCATGGGTACAGCAGAAAAAGGGTACGGCAGAAAAACCTGCGGCACGGCTCGGCTGCGAAGAGGAGGCTGGCAGAGGGTGAGCTGACACCCTTTAAAGTTGGCTGCGGCAAAGGGGAGCCCCCGCTTAGGAGGCTGTTCTGTCTCGGTGTGTAGTTGTCCTCCTGCTACCACAGCCGTCCCTGTGCTCCCCGCCTTACGGCTCCCGGGTTACTGCCCCTGGGTTACCGCCCCTGGGTGACCAGCGCGGCGGCGGTCACGGCCCCGGCCCCTCACACGGGGCAGCCGGCTCCC